GGGGGGGGGGGGGGGGGCAGAAGTCCATGTTCATTTCCTCGATTTCGTTTCGCTGCTACCTGAACTGATATATATCTGATATACCTGAACTTCTCCGGATTTTTTTGGAGGGGGAGGTTTACGAAGTTCACCTCATTTATGATTATCTGCGTTCACTTATTTTGGTCTCAAAGTCACTGGGATAGAATTCGGTTTTCCTCCAGCAAAAAAAAAAAACTAGTATCTGGAAATATAATGATTTATACATTTGGGTGGTTTCACAGTGCCAGAAAGTAAGAAACCTGTTTGTGGGGAACTGCTGGCCGATGCATTCATGAGGCTTTCAATATTTAATTTAGATCGAGATAAAGGGCAAGCCAGTCGAGTTAATTCGGAGGAAGCTCGAAGAGGTAAATGAACAGAAAGGAATCGCCTGTCCCCAGAGTAATTTATTGAAGCGTCATTTCCGTATTTAATTCAATCTTTTTTTTTTCGTACCACACGGCTGCATTATTTCTGGATGTTTCTACATTTTTGGGTCTCATGAATATGGGAAGAGGGCTCGATGGGTCGCGACAAAATAAAGGTCGAGAACCACTGCTCTAGTGGGAATGTGAAACACGGGGCCAGATAGCTCTGGAACCATTTCCATTCTTTTCCATCTCTCTTTGGCCGAGAATGCAGTTTTGGACAGAATACTCTTTTAATAATTATTATGTGCTGTAACGAGTCAGTGCTTGATCATTTTTTTTGTATAATCCGTAGACGCCGCCGACGAAGCGCCTGACGCTGCGTCGGCGTCTGAGCGACGCATGCGGGGCGATCGTGAGCAACGTGAGGCGACCGAGCCTCCGCACCGACCTCATGCTCGTCCGGACCAAGAGCAACCTCCAGGCCCGCTTCTCCAACGGGGATCGGGCACGGAACCGGGCCAAGAGGTTCTGCGTCATCCAGTGACGGCCGGGATGCGGCCCAGCGGTCTCCCTTCGTACCGGGTCAGGTCTCTCCCGTCTCGGTCGTACGACCACGCGTACTTCTTGAAAGCAGAGCGTTTGAAAAGAATAAATACGACAGCGGAACTCCTTGTGTGATTTCCGAGTTTGGTGTCTTTCAGCATCGGTGTCTCTTGTACATTACTTCCGCTATATTCCACTTTTCTTTATGTGATACAAGTTGCTCGTACTTTTCTCTGGAGGTGATCTCTGTTTTTGTTGTTGCTGTGCTTAAAAATACGAAAAGAAGTCCCGGACGAGCTGGATTCCTCTCTTGTCGCGATCTTGTTCTGCTCTACACGTTTCTGTCGAGTTTTTCTACTCTTTGTGATATAAAGGGATCATTGTTCCATGTCGTCACGATTGTTCCACTCGATCCTCCAAATTCCTTTTGGGTCAATCCAATTTTCGTGCGGGGGTGGGAAATGACGTCAGAGGAGCAGAGAGCAGAGACCAAGAGAGTGAGAGAGAGAGAGAGAGAGGCTGAGTCAGTCAAAGGAAGAGAGATGGAAATTCCCCAGAGACATTTTCCTCCTCTTTGACGATGTGATACTTGAGGGGAATGGCACGAACAGATCCGGGTATGGGAGCCAATCTGTCCCGATAAAAGTTCTAGGTCATGTCATGTTTAAGCAGGAACGATGGACCCGGGAAAACTCCCTGAGGTCTTATATAAACATGTCAGAAGATGATAAGCGGAAGTTTCCGTCGCACTTGGTGGGGGAAAATTCGTTTCCTTCCGGGAAATCCCTCTTCCTGGAAAATTAGATAAAGGTCAGAGATTCGATTGACACTATTTCAATCGCAAGAGGAAGGAGGAAAATGCAAAGAGAAGCGCAGAATAAATAAAAGAAAGGGAGTCGTCCACGGTCTCTAAAAAAAAAAAAGTACCAGTACAGTATATGTATATATTTAAAATCGGTTAGTATTTAATTCATCACCAAATAATATTGACTCTGTCACAAAGAAGTAATGATTCATCACCAGACCTAATGAATCTTAGACCAAATTTTCCCTCAGTATTTTCACCAGACGCCATGAAATGACCATCAAATTTTATTGAGTTAACACCAAATCATTGTCACATTTCATGTCTCAAAGGAAAGAAAATTTTCTTCAGCGGGCCTGCAGGGCAGAACACACTGACTATCCCTGCTGTGAATTAGCATTCCGAGTGAATGTTTGCCAGTCTTGATCCAAACAGGGCATCTGCATTCAAAATTTGGAGCTCTCACAACTCAGAGGAAGAGTCTTGTTCTCTTTAAGTGCTTCTAATGCTCCAGTTTTTTTAAATTAGATACTCAGATACTCTTTTGTGCACTTTTCCGAACCTCTTCCCTTGTGGGGTTGCCGTCACTGCAGGCAATGAAGGCGTCTCTCTTTGTTTCAATGTCCTCAAACTCTCTAGTTGCCATGACACCTCAAATACATAGGGCACACAGAAACTGGAAGTCAGTGCCGTACACAACTCCCATACATCTACACAAGCGCAAGGAGACTAGTTACACAGGTCCTCCCCCGAAGTCCCTCCAAAGTTCATATGATCGTACAATCTCATCTTGAAATCACAGGTCTAACCGGAAATAAATAAAAATTATTTTCTTGATAGGGTTGCAAATGGAAAGAATGTCATTGGTTCGATGATGAGATCATTTTTTGGTGCGGGATAATGCAAATTTGGTGATACCAACACCTGTGATGGTGCAATCATATTTGGTGAAATCAAAAATAAGAATTTGGGGACTGATTCTAATTTGGTGAAAATTCATTGTGATCTGGTGATGGTGTCAATATTTTTGCGGGCTGAAAATATCTGGTGACAAGTTCATTATTATTTAGTGGGTGATTAAATATCTTTCTTTAAAATCTCCATCTGAAATGAAGTTACTCACCACCCATCAGAAACGTGCACGAAAAAAGCACGCTGCTCACACAATGTTGGTCAGAGATACCCTTCCAATATCTTGCGAACCTCATGTTTTATTTTTTTAAATTACAAATAAACTTGTATCCTTTCAGTTAAACAATGCGTAACAATCGTACTAGCATGAGATTAAAGAAATTCAAAAGCAATCAATATTAAAGCAAGCGAGACAAATTCCGTCTCTGCCATAATATATGCCCCCCCCCCCAATCGCATAATTGAATATAACAATAAATTCTATCAACTTTTTGAAAGACAAAATTACACTCATGTCTGGTCTCAAAACCTGAATGAGCAATGAATTTTCCTCTCAAAAGGAAGAGATCCCAAAACCATCAATTGAAAAACGTAGGCGAGGGGGCGAACAAAAAAAGGGTTGGAGTTTGTCTCACTTTAGCGACGCTTTACGGTAGAGCACCACCACCACTCCGACACCACTTAATATATTCAAATATTGAAACCCTGTCTAATTTTACCCCACCTTACCCTACTGAGTGACGTTAACATACAAAATCTCCCTTACTCACCTGTGATGTCATAGCAGAATAAAATGGGGCTTGGACAATGTCAGATGGAGATATTAACAAATTATAAACAGGTTCCTTTTTTATTTTAGACATTGTAGAACGGAGAATTTTCCATAACGTACTTTCAGAACTTATTGAATCGTAGGTGCCCCGAAAATGATATCCTCGGAATGAAACCAATCAAGACATACAAGCGGTGTCCAAAACGTATCTAGAAGCCATCTTGCCTAGGCCTTGGTGGCCTCACTTTTTTGGATTGTACCTCACTGTAAAGCTTTCCTGTACGTACACCAAGCTTCATGTTTTCACCTGTCGGCATTAATTTAATGACACTTTAAATATCTAAAAAAAAATGATGTCCCATGCTCACACCCTGTCAACTTCCCAGAATGTTGGTACTTGTTTCCTTGGAACCGTACGGGCCAAGATCGAATGCACGAATTGGAAAGAGAAGTAATACCTCGGAGGAATTCAGCATAACAAGCAGCTACATGTTTTTCTTTCGTTCTTTTATTTCCTGTCTTGAAATCATCCCATTTATGCAGCTGGAGAGGTTTACAGGCTAAGAGCAAGGATTACCTTTGGAATGGGACCTTCGATTCGAGGAGACGAGGGAAAAACAGGAAACTTAGTGTTCAAGTGGCAAGAGTTTGCTCTACTGGAAGATGATTTTGCCGGGACAACGTAGGACTGGTGATGTAATTGAGTACCAGCTGTAATCGAGAAGGAACACATTGAAGGAGACTGCTTCGAGAATGACGTTTATCCGAGTACGACAGATCCATTTAGCCTGAGTACTCGGAGTATTTGAGCATAATCCCTGCCGGACGAATCCCCTTCGCCCCATCACAGTCATCGCGTACGACCGATCCCTCCCATTGTCGCTCCGTATTTCGCAGGGGAAACATTTTAGAGGAACGAGATTCGCAAACTCCCAAGAGGGAGTTTGCGAATCGTGCACCCGTGCGGCAGAAGGTCGAGTCAGCCGAGCGATTTGTCATCCTAACCCGAATTTCGTGAAGCTTTCTGGAAATGAAAATTTGAAGGTTGCCAAAGAGAAGTTTTACGACGAGGCCGGATTCCCAGAAGTTGTCGGATGAATTCACAGCGGCCATCTATTTCTAGTCCTCTCTCGAAGACCGGAAAGTAAAGTAGGTCAATCGCTCCTCATCCACTCTGGCCTGCGATGAAGTCTGAATTCATCGTGGCGACATGGAATGGACCGATACACGATTCCAGGACGTTTTTCAATTCTCTCCACGACAGTGACTCGAGAGCGAGCGAGGAGAAAGCGGGAAGGGCAGGAGAAGCTGAGCTGATTTCACGCATGCATGCTAACGTCTTTTCCTCCTCCGTTACGTTAGCTACCGCTTGGTTAATTTTTGTCATTGGGCACGGATTTTCAGCACCGTGGGAGTCAAACCGTTATTCCGGTTCTGGGACAGAAGGTCGAAAAATTTTCGTCGAATTGCAAGAATGTCAACGTCATAGATTGCCGAAAGGCAGAATGGGAGAGAGTAGAAAATGTCGAAATACGACATGGTGGAACGGAGAAAATGTCGAAAGAACCAGAAAGGCGAAAATGTCGTAAAAGCGTCGAATGTGCTTGTCTCGGGCTGTATTTTTTTTCCTAGAGGTAGCCTTTGTCTCTTGCTTATTTCATGCCATCGTAGACTGTATGCTCAGCCTTCTCAAACTGGAATGATCGTTAATCTTCAGAGATAGACGATCATTCCAGTTATTGTTAGTGACCTTGAAAGGGGTTCGAACCATACTCGTCCATGAACTAGCAGTCAGTCTCGTACCTTTCCTCGTTGTTATCACTCCCTCGGCTTCTCATTTTCTGAATCGACTGGGTTATTTCTTGATGTACTTATTGACTCAGTTAAAGTTGCTTTCGACATTTTTTCCAGTCCACGACTTGGCCTTTCGCCATTTTTGTCTTCGACCATAAGGAGGTTCGACGTTTGGGTTCATTCGACCAAAGAGAATTCGACGTTATGCCATTCGACCATTCGAGAGGATACCGTTATTCCGTGCCGTTTTTTCGCTCTTCTACCGATCCGGTCCTTAATCCCGAACCCCGAGTATTGGCGGTTCTTACCTTTCATAACTTGGAATCCAGAGTTACAGTTATAATTTTAATTTACCACATCTCGGATGCATATTTTGTGCCCAATCACTGAAAATGAAAAAGAAAATGATACAATTGATAGAATTTATTAAATTTTCCAAAATTACCCGGCTAATGGGACTCGTATCACGCAATTGGAAAGCATGAAAGACAGACGGAGGCCCAGGCTGTCCGCGCTGAGATGAAAGACCGGGCGGCTGTTTTTTTCTTGCACATCTTTAATAAATGGTGCGACCGTCCTTGTCTTCTGTCTGGAAAGACCCAATTTCGGGGCTAATGACACATTCCACGACCGACGTCTTCCCCAATCATCTATCATTCGCCTTCTATTAGATGTTCTTAATTCGTATGGCCTATTCCCAATAAGTTTTTGAATCCGGTCTCAGCTTCTTCTCTTAAAACACCTTCCATTCCGCTTACTTGATAGCGACGCTTCTGCTACGTCTCTTCCACATCGTAGCAAAATTTTGTCATTTCATTTTGGACTACATTCATCCGTTACATCTTCACACTGCTCCATTTCACAACCGAAAAACTACTATTTAAAAAGATGTTATCTAGCTAATCAATCAGCTAAACTTCGATACGCGGAATAGCAATGTTGTCCGCTGTGCTGTTTGTTCCTTACATCTGTTCTGATGACTGGCGGAAAAAATGATCAGCTTAAAAAT